AAAATGCACATACATATTTGTGACATGATGTACCTTGTGTGTGTGAAGTTTGAACTCGATCAATCCAAGCATGTCTCAGATACGGATCCAGAACTGAATTCTTTAAAATAAAATGGCTGCCAGTCGGCCATTTCAAACCCGATCCAAAAAAAAAATGACGTGCATCATGGTCCTATTATGTTTAATGTATGTACCAAATTTGAACAAAATCCGTCCATGCATAACTGAGATCCGGGTCTGGAATGGTGAAAATGTGCGATTTTGATGCATTTTCGGCCTTAAAATGGCCGCTATTCGGCTATCGTTAATCGGATCATGAAAAAAATGCATGTGCATATGTCCCATATAATGTGTGATGTATGAGTGAAGTTTGAACTTAATCGGTCCATGCATGTTCGAGATACAGGTGATCACGGACGGACGGACGAACGGACGGACGGACGGACGGATGCACGGACGGACGGACGGACGCACACAAGGCAAAACATAAGTCCCCGTTTTCGGACTACGTCCGAACAGGGACTAAAAAGCTGAAAACTAATTATGTAAATCAGGTAACTAATATGAATTATTATGCTAATTAGAGAATTAATTTGAACAAATTTTAACCCAAAATTAATCAGGCCTGTCTATTGTCCTAGAGCATTTATGTACCAAATTTTCTTCAAATGTGATGATCAGTAATTGAGATATCAGTGTTAATTAATTATGTTAATTAGATGATTAATAAGCATAAATATTTACCAAAAACTAATTGGGTCTCTGCATAGTTCTCTCTCTAAAATCCAATTCGTGGTTCTTAAATCTTTATATATCAGTGGAACATTATGCAAATTAGGTAATTAGTATCCAATTAAAACTAATCAGGTCTCTGCATAGTCCTAGAAGATCTATGTAGCAAGTCTCATTGAAATATGATGATTAGTACTTGAGATATAAGGCAAAAAGCTGAAAATCAACTAATTATGCTAATAAGGTAATTAATATGCACAAATATTTACCCAAAAACTAATCAGGGGTCTGCACAGTCCTTAAGTAACTACGTACCAAGTGTCATTGAAAATTGATGATTACTACTTGTAATATCAAAAGCTGGAAATTAATTAATTATGCAAATTAGGTAATTAATATGTACTGATATTACGATAAAAACTATCAGGTCTGTGCAGTGTCCTATGACATCTATGTACCAAGTGTCATTGAAATGTGATGATTACTACTTGATATATCAAAAGCTGAAAATTAATTAATTATGCAAATTAGGTAATTAATATGCACTCATATTACCCTAAAAACTATCAGGTCTGTGCAGTGTCCTATGGCATCTATGTACCAAGTTTCATTGAAATGTGATGATTACTACTTGAAATATCAAAAGCTGAAATTTAATTATTTTATTATGCAAATTAGGTAATTAATATGTACTGATATTACCCTAAAAACTATCAGGTGTCCTGTGACATCTATGTACCAAGTTTTATTGAAATGTGATGATTAGTACTTGAGATATCAGTGGAAAAGCCGAAAATTGATTAATCATTATGCAAATTAGGTAATTAATATTGCACAGATTTTTACCCAAATCTAATCAAATCTGCACATTAGTTTGGAGCATCTATGTGCCAAGTTTCTTTGAAATACAATGAGTGGTTCTTTAGATATCAGTGGAACAGTCATGGAACAGCTAAAAATCAGCTAATTATCATGCAAATTAGGTAATTAATATACATGGATTTTAACCAAAACCCAATCAAATCTGTGCATTGGCCCAGAGCATCTATGCACCAAGTTTCATCAAAAATCAATGTATGGTTCTTGAGATATCAGTGGGACACACACACACAGACAGACAGACAGACACACTAACTGCAAAGACTCCCTTTTTGTGCTTTGCACACGGGAGTAAAAAAAAAGCTCCTAGACACTTTGACCTTTTGTTTTGAAATTTTCACAAATGACTGAAAATGTGTTTATCTTCAAAACGCCGTTGGGGCATTGTTTTTGGTTGAACAGTGTTACAACAATCGTACAGACAACTAGCCTGGGTGTTAATTTATGCATAAACTTGAAGTAGTGAAATTTTAGCTGCTGCCCTGCAAAATTGACAACTGGTAGACAGTTTTCAAGACGGCACTTTCTTCATAGTAAACAGATGTACCGGTACCCATAAACCAATTTTGACAGGAAACAGAAGCATGGTTTAATAGCTAATTTTTTTTAAATAACTTTTGACCAAAAAAGGACATTTTTGTGCATATTTCAAACTACAGTGTCCATAAAAAAAAATACTAACAAAATTTTAAAATTCATTCAATAAGCTTTCCAAAAATATATAGTTTTGTGGACAAGGGAAGTCATCTTGGTTTCCTAATTAACTAATTAAAATACCTGTCAGGTAAACTGCATCTCTACCTTAATTACCACGAAGATTATAGCCTTCTCAATGGTTCAATTAGGATTTTTATCCCATGCATTTCAGTCATTTAGATAATACATAGGATGCAATTATATCGTCGTGGATGTATAATTTCAGCATTATTATAATCAAAATGATTACCTAGTTTGTTTTTGATGCATTTTATTGTTGAAAAATGCATTATATAGTTGAAAAATTAAGATTTCATAAAAGCAAAGTTTGCGCACGATAGGCAATATGTCCAAGTAACCAAAATCGTAATTTCTTTTATTTTCACTATTCACTATATGAAAAGTTCTCAGTAAACTAACCCATAATACACACCTGTTCTGCCAACAAATCATATGCCTTAGGAGTGGTTTCATGTTGAAGCATACTATTATCAAATGATACATGATGAGTCTCTTGTCGCACAGACGTTTTACTAGAACTATTTCGTTGGGGCTGTGTAGCTCTGGATGCACTTTTTTCATGTGAGATTAGACCAGATGCTCTTTTTTGATGAGCTGGTCCAGAAAGTCTTGGCTGATGTGACAAACCAGCTCTTGGCTGCTCTCCCATCCTGACTGCTCTTGGCTGATGGGCCAACGTGGATGCTGTGATGTGATGTCGTGTTGAGGGCTCACTGTATTTTGAAAAAGAGGCAGCACCATTACTCATATAGGAAGCTTCTGTCATCATTGAATCTGATAACATGGTCTTCTCCATTGTAGGTACCACAATGGGTCGTGGGATTTCTGATTTCTTTGAAGGTCTTGAATCACTGCAGAAAAAGTTGGCAAATTAATATTTCCATGGAGCTGAGCACAAAAGATCACACTGACAAATTGTTAAAGACTCATCTTCACATTGAATATGAGAGCTTCACACACAGAATTCAAAAAAATATGGCTGAGAATAAGATCTAACAAGAATATGTATATACCCTGGGTGAGTGTGCCACAGACTCAATGAGAAGTACAATTCCGCTGGCCAAGATTCATTCACTAACGAATGCGACTTTGGGGGAACCTTGGTTATGGTCCGCAGATGCTTGTGTTCGATCGAGCCTGGTTGACACCAGGATAGCGCATTAAAATTGCCATTAGATAGGGAGATGGCCACACAGTCCTGTCATGTAGTCCCAAACAGGAAATAACTTCTGTGGCAAAAATGCACTATGTGTCAGCACTAGCACTTGCAATTTGCACATACAAAAAAGAAAAAGTCAGGAGAGACAACAGTGACACTCAATGTCTAGAACTGTCGCCCGGCACAAAAATATTTTTTTTTTTAAATTAAAAAAAAAAAAAAGAATATGTATACATAATGGATATCATCACAAACTGAAAATTTAGAAAAACTTGACCACATTCACTTTCAAGTCATGGTATATAGTGGGAACATGTGGTAATCAATGTTTCAACTAACAATTCAAAATAGATAGTTGCATCAGGCAATGTTTATTCAACAGAAGCATATCAAAATATTGTAAACAGGGTCCATAGCACAAAGAGCAAAATGATTTCAAAGACTTTTCCCAGACCTTTTTCCAAACTTTCTTGCATTCTTCCAAGACATTTTGACCATTAATTCAGGCCAACATCATCACCAAAACTAATGGTATGAATATGGTAGTTCCCTGGAGAAAACGGGTCTTTCTAAAATGAATTATCAACTATGACGAAACTTAAAGACTTTTCAAAGATTTTTTAATATTTTTCCTGTAATTTAAAGACAACTCAAAGACTTTCCAGACCTAAAAAAATCCAAAGACTTTCCCAACGCTATGAGCCCTGGTAAATAATAATCACTTCAGAGGCAAATAATATCCAGTTCTATTTTTAGTTCTCAGTCATATTCAATAAAAGACACATTGTTTATAATTGCTAAGAATGATGTGCAAATCCAGTGAATACCATATAGACAAAATGTTCTATACAAGGTATGTTACCAGTTTGATTTTTTAAATCTCTAAATCTGTAGATGCAATCATGTTCAAAACTGATTTATGCAAATACCGGTAATGATATTTCCAACGATTTTAACTTACCCTTTCAGTTGATCTCTTATTTCTTTTCTTGTACTAGTTGGTGTACCTTGTACGAGTCCCACTCTTCTCATAGCAATCCTAGTCATCGTCTCATCTAAACGGGCAACTGCCTCTGGAGTATCAGCTGAATGTACAGATAAAGTAATTTGTCTAGTTAATATACAATGCAAAGATAATTTTTTTTTCCCTACAAAATGACAACATTTGCAAGTTACCAACTCTTGAAAAATGTAACTACTTGCTAAACACTATAGATAGCTATATTGTCAACTGCTTAGGAAGATTCATTCATTTTATTTCAAAATTTTAGTTTTTTAAAAGTCTAGGTTTTTTTTTTAATTTTTTTTCATGACCATTGATTTATTGTTTGTTTTTTTTTCATTCATACTAAATTTTGTAATAAAATGTCTATCCACCTATCTGAGTAGTAATTCTGTAGAATCAACAGCTCATTACTACAAATCAAAAGATATTCATGGCCTTTTGCCACAGAAACTACACTTCGGATAACAAGTGTGTGAGTTTCATAACATCTTTCTATCACTGTGGCATGTTGATGTGCTACCCCACAATCAATATGGTCTATTTCCTCAAGAACTCTTACTAGAAAGTCAACAAACAGCCTGTCGGCTGAGATAGCTCTGCTGTTAGCAATGCACATTTCAATTAAGAACTAGAGATATCATTAGAAAATGAACAATATGTATAGTATCAAAGCAATCAGATTTGTGGTTTTTAACAAGAAGTCGAAAATATCACTTTTTACCAAAAAATGACGAAATATTCACCAAAATTAGAGAATTAAAGATATCATCACGAAATGAACAAATCTGAGAGAGGTTCACATGTAGTACCTATATGTGTAATATCAAAGCAATCGGACTTGCCGTTTTTAACAAGAAGTTGAAAATATCACTTTTTACCAAAAATGACAAAAATATTCATCAAAATTAGAAAATTTGAGATACTGACATGAAATGAACAAATCTGAGAAAGAACCATCCAAGGTACTTACATATCAAATTTGAAAAAATTCTAACTTGCGGTTTCGAAAAAGAAGTTAAGATTGTAAAGTTGACTACGACGGACGCCAACGGACAATTAGTAATATGAACAGCTCCGCTGTGCCGACAGCGGAGCTAATAAAGCTAGACCAGTATCAGTAGTCTGCATATGGGCCACCATACCATGCGAAAAGATACATGGGTTTTGGGGAAGCGAGCATGACAAAGGGAGGGGGATTGACAAACAAACTATATTTAATGATGTGTATGTCTGTGTAAAAATACTATGCTTGATAAGGGGGAAGAAAGGAAGGGTGGCAATTGTTAACAATAATGTAATCTAGTTGAATTATTAGCAAGTTAATTAATATGTAATATCATGCAAGACACCATTTCAAATCTATGTGTAGGCAAAAAGAAAACAATATAGCAACTGAGGGGGAGGGTATAGCCATAGCAGCCATTCTGTAGTACCGTAAAATCTGTATTAGAAGCCGCATCCCTAATAGAAGTCGCACCCATTCTTTTTGAATAATTGAGAACCAAAAATTCATCATTTCTCATATGTGTAGATGCTCTAATAGAAGCCGCATTCCCTCTGTTGCATTGTACCATTTTAATAGAAGCCGCGGTTTCTAATACAGATTTTACAGTAACATACATTTCAGAATAAGTTTTAGAGTTTACATACGCATAGGGGAGCCTCTCGACATACTCCAAGCTGCTCTCAGATGTGGTGGTGTTTCTATATCAGAATTTGGTCTCAATTCATATGATGATGGAGGTGTTGGAGGTATTAACTGTAGCCCTCCAGACTGTAAAGAAAGCAATCATTTTATCATCAATTGTTGTAGTGTAGTCCTTACACAGCAATTAGAAAACTTCAAAGAATGGAAATGATCACAAAGTGTTCAGAAACGGTGTGATATTAATGCAGATGAAATATTGGTGTTGTGATATTAAAGAAGTATTTGTGCTAATAAATAATTTGTTGACATGATCTGGAGCTATTTCAGATTGGTAAGAGACATTTGTTATCGCATTTTCGCATACTGGTTGACAAAAACGTAAACATATGCTGTCAGTGCGATGGCCTATAGGATTATAAATGAGGATGGCAGGGAAATCAAACGATTCTTTTTGCAAACAAACTCACTAAAGTCACTATTAAGCAACTGCACATTATTTTCCTAATGTTGATCACAAAATATATTTTTCTATACTTTCTTAGTTTTTTAATTTATCATTGACTACATTGAAAAAAATAAAGGACAAATTATGTGCACTTATTTGGTAAAAATACAGTTAAACAAAGAATCAAAAAAGTATTTGAAACTTGAAGGGGCAGGGAAAATAACATTTTCCTAATTGTATATTTATGATAAATTGTGATCATTATTCAATTTATAGTTACCACTTTGCAATCATTGGGTAAACTATTAAAAAAAACTTTATTTTTGTTAGATGTTATTATGTGTCTGACCAATATATTAATTATGATGTTCAAAGATTTGTTAATGACTGTTGGTTACTGTAATTTTACAGAATTTCCTCCCTGACTATTATGGAAATTTATTCTCACCCAAGCAAAATGACTATATAGTTGCCCAGTACATTAACAAATTATTGTTATTTTGTTTACCTTAACACTATACTGGAATTCTTCCAATTTCCATTCTAAATGTTGTGCTCTCCACAAACAATATTATAATCAGCTACAAAAACTTGTGTATTATTGGGGAGTATGGCAAACTGTTTTATACACTCTTACTGCTTTACTTGTGAAGTGATTGTACAGCTTAGCTAATAATAAATTTGACAGAATTTACCCCAAAATCAAATGCATGATTCAACATTAATGAATTTAACATGGTTCTTTAAATCTGCACACACTGCCATTCAGTGTTTATTCTGAATCATTTTAAGTACACGTATGAATCTCTATGGGAATAGAGATTGAAGCAGCTGTGTCCTGCCATTCTCATTGCAAATAATTTATTTTTTACAACAGTAGATTACCATGATGTGCTTTACTTCCTGTGTTAGTTACTATTGGTTTAAGATTCCAGACACCTGCTACCTACATCATGACAATTCTTGAATAGGTTTGTAGTTAATACCTAGGTGTTTTTGCATGACAGTATGATCCATCACGTACAGAATAACTATTGAAACTGCAATTTACAAATAAGTTTATGACTTGGTTTTTTTTTTTTTTTTTTAATTGTTGTTCCTGACACTTTCATTGGTATACAGAGTTTAATGGTGGAATTTGTCATAGTTGATCTGGGAGTATTATTTCCTCATAGAGTTCCATGTATAAGCATGTGCTAAGCAAAAAGTAATATCAGTAATTTTAGGAGTATGTAATATATCCACAAAGTATCAGCAATTTTCATGAAAACTACTCACATCACTCTTCAATGTACATAAACTTATAATTAGTCTTTCAAAAATATTGTCTCCAGCCAAAGAAACAAATATTTCTCTGAAAATCAACTCATTTTTATACGGAATAAATAACGAAAACCTAATTTAGTCTGAAATTTGTGCAAAATACACTTTCAAGTTTTGTTCTATCATTTAATTATTAATCTATATTTTAAGTAACAAAACAACTCAAAAGTAATTGCACAAAATCAATTTTATTTTTTCTATCTGATATGAATACATATGCTGATGTTTGGATAATGAAAATACCCTGAAGTTATCTAACTTGCACATAACATACATAAACAAATGTATATAGTAATTACACAAAAGCCTATTAAATATTTTAAATAATAAATATCAATGTTTATGGAATATCTACAAACGTTATTGAAATTAAAAACTTTACTAGCAGCAAAAATATAAATCGATGTGAGCTGTGTTTTTCGTCAGTTTTTTTCTTATTTATTACTCTGTCCAAATAAATTTTATATTGTATCGAATGAACACACAAGGTGAAGGGTTAGCAAGTTCAAAGCAATGCATATTCAAAAAGCTGGAAAAATAATTCTTGGTTGATCAAAGATTTATTTGCAAGCAATTTGCATACTATTATCATAAATATTTCCAATATCACCACATGCTCACTTATTTGGTACCAAAAAGGTAATTCCAGTTACACATGAATAAGATTTTTAGAAAAATTGTGAAAAACTTCAGTCTACATGCTTTATCCATCTTCTCTGTCATGCAGTAAATGCAGTTTTGCAAAGACACAAAAATTGAGTTGCGATAGTTTTTTGTTTTCAAAATTTACTAAATATATATGGGAAATGTTTGCCACTTTTTGTTTTCTGTTCTTAAGTATCACATTTACTAACAATCCAGAAAAACAAATTTAATAATTTACAGTATGGAAGAACATTATTTAATTCTCAGGCTAATATATTGCATTGAAATTAAAGGACCTTCATACAACTGTATTTAGTTTAGTAACAGTAATAACTACAACAATAACTGTAAATGAGACACCTATGTGGTTTTGAAGATTGTTTTGGTGTTTCCTGGAACACTTACTAAGCTATCATCTGGTTTTTGATCCCGAGCAGTTGATTCATCATCCAATTCAGCTATTATTGTATCTATTGATTCCTTCAATTCAGGTATCATCTCAAAGGCAAGTTTAGATCTGAAAATATGAACAAAGGGGTAAGATATTTACATTTCATTGACAGATAGGGGTATGTAGGGGTATACTTAAGTGCTGATCACCCCATCCTTGACCAAGTGGTTCTTTCCTGAACACAGTCTGTTATGAGTCATATGATGCTTTCAGACCAGGTCATGTATAGCACATACCTCTACACATGCTGCCTTGCATGATGGGTGTTTCCCTCAAAGGCTAGGCCCACTGCCGAAACAGTGGATTGGTGTCAGGAAGGGCATCCGGCCAATTATCTCATGCTCCAAAAAACCTTAAATGGCAGTTACAACCAAGCGATTGCCACTAGTTTAAGGTGAATCCGGCCACCCTCGTCTTCGGGGACCAAACCGGATTTAAAACTCTGGACTACTACTACTACTACTACTACTACTAGATATTCAGTACTCGTGCATATTAACAACTAACTTTCTTTTTGTAGTAGTAGTTATCACAACTGATCTTTATTGCTATTAACTGATAGAAACATTGTATTTCTAAGGATGCAATAAAGTTATTATTGTTATTATCCTTATTATTATATCAATGTGGAAATCATGAGTTAGTACGCAACTTGCCAAATTTCATCTTGTTTTTTTACTGGTTTGTACGACATGACTTTACCAAAGAAAAGTAACGAATTAGTAACCATACTGACATACAAAACAACGATGGCCTATAGGATTATAAATGAGGATGGCAGGGAAATCAAACGATTCTTTTGCAAACAAACTCACTAAAGTCACTATTAAGCCACTGCACATTATTTTCCCAATGTTGATCACAAAATATATTTTTCTATACTTTCTTAGTTTTTCAATTTATCATTGACTACATTGAAAAAAACAAGTCATAGAAAATTACACAGTCCCTGTTAAATTTTTGAAAGTTCTTTTTGTGCTCATCATATTAAAGCGGAGGGGTTGTCGCGAGCGTGTCCTTGAAACTCGAGTTCCAAATGGAATATACAACAGATTGTTTATTTACATCAAAACACGTGTTCCATGTAGTAGTTATATGGCCAAAAATAAAAACAGCCGTTATTCGGCCATCTTTGATCTGATTATGAAACACACTGATATGTATGTGCCAAATACGAATGAATATGGTACATAAATTGTGGAAATATAGTAGTAAGGCCAAAAAGTCATATGGCTGTCAATCGGCTATCCATGACCAGATTTTGAAACAAATTGTCATGGACATGCATTCTAACACGTATAAAGTACATGTATGTGCCAAATTTGAATGAAAACTGACAGAGCACGTCCAAGATACTGCATAAAAAAACACACAAGATGCCTGCCAGTCGACCATCTTTGATCCAATTGCGAAATAAATCGTCATGGACATGTATCCTAACATGTATAATCTATGTACCAAGTTTGAATGACAACTGACAAAGCATGTCCAAAATACAACATTTTCAAAAAACAAGATGGCTGCCAGTCGGCTATTTTGATTCAAATCGCTAAACCACTGCATGTGCATATGTCCCACATAAGGTACTAGGCACATGCAAAGAATGAACGAAATCGGTCCGCAGGATTCTGAAATACGACTCTGGACAGACTGACGCACAGATGGATGAACACATGGACGGACAGACTCAGGAACTCACGGACGGTTGGGGGCATGTATCCTAACATGTATGAGCTATGTACTAAATTTGAATGAAAACTGACAAGCATGTCCAAAATACAACACTTTCAAAAAACAAGATGGCTGCCAGTCGGCCATTTTGAATCGAATCGCTAAACCACTGCATGTGCAGATGTCCCACATAAAGTACTAGGCACATGCAAAGAATGAACGGAATCGGTCCAAGGGATTATGAGATATGACTCCGGACGGACGGACGGACAGACGCACACGGACGGACGAACAGATGAACGGAGGCCGAATTATAAAACACTTGCATGTGACATGTAGAAATAAATACTACGACAGAACCCCACACCCTCCCCGT